TCGTGATTTACAGTAGAGACTACCTTCTTGCATCTTTTGTTTCTTTTCTTCTTCCCAACGATCTCCTTTTTTCTGACCACTCATCTTGAGTTTTCCTTAAATCTGTGCAATCATTTCTATCTTCCACGTTGGATCCTTTGAAAACTTCATTCTTTGCACGTATGTTAAAAAAGTGGTCACATTGTTCTTCGTTATATCACTGAACATTTTACTATAACATTTCAATGCTTTATGATACATGATTAAACATTTATTTTCTTTTTAAATTACATGCTAAAAATACCAATTGATCGGAAAACACGCGTAAATTATCTTTTTGCTAGTTACAGTTACTGAAAATATTTACAAATGTGCACGAAATTTAAAAGCGAACTAAATTCTTTATATTCTTGACAGTTATAATTATTGAAACAGTTTCTCCGAATTTTATTGTTAGAGAACGCAATAGGCTCACTCTTAATAAAACTTGACGTTTCAGATATTTGGGGGGGGGGGTAATTTCAATATTACTTTTTTCATTCTTATACACATCGACCCTTTAATTAGTGTCTCGCGTATCTTGGTCTTTCGTTAAGCCCGCAACGGTTTCGCTTTATAACTGAAAGTGGTGAACATTTTAATAGTTATGTAATATTGTGTAATAAATAATGAAGAAGAATCTTGACATCAGAGAGATTAGACTATAGTTCTAAATTAGCGGTTTCTTCCTTTAAATTTAATTTCTTTGAATAGTAAAATGCAATTATGTTTTTATTTTTGAATTCAATTTCTTTGAGATCGAAGCTAATATACAAATATGTATCGCATTCAAAAAAATTAGTATGTAATTGTATTTGGTTTATTAACAAAGAGTTTTAAAAATAATATCCAGTTTAAAAAAATGCTGCTCTTTTTTTTTTTCTTTTTTCAAAGTTTCACTCTCTCCCTCTGAACAACATTAAATAATCTCTTAATTGCTTATAAAATTATATATAAATATTTTAATGGACCAATTTGAATATTTTTATATTGATTAATATGCATAAGTACGCGCTTCCTTCATTTTGAATGCACTTTAAGTTAAACTTTCGCGGTTGCTGTGCTATAACCATGCGACACTTACACGGACTTGGAAAAATATTTCGTAAGATGTAATATTTTAAATAGCTTGGATCACCTTCGTGCTGCTTTAATGCGAAATACCGCCCAGTTTTTGCTTTCTTCGAACTTAATTATAGTTATATTCTTCTCCTTGAACAACCTTACGTACCTTTATCATCCTAAACGAGATCTGGAAACAATTACACTCTCTTCTTGCTCAAAACAGCAATCAAATCAGCTTGAATAACCTCTGATCCCCATTCCGCAATTAAATATTTCCGGAACTATCGTCAGCATTCCCTTACACTTCTCGAAAATATTCTTCTCTCAATTAATTTAAAACCTTATTGTTGTGACATTTATTATAACGTGGGTGAATCTGAAGATTATAAACTTCTTATTTAGGAAATGTAAGCACATTTATGAGCAAAATTAATTTCATCATTTCTAATCTGCAACTTTTTGCTTGGTTTGGTTTCATATTTCATGCAGCTTTCTTGACTGATATGCCATAAATCATGACAAAAATTGGGATTTATCAACTATGCCATTCACGACGATGCCACGTGGTACATAACTTTGTACAACGGTAATGTTGATGAGTTCTTTTTCCAGAAATTATGGTAAAATATGATGCCAAACCTATTTCTTGTTAGCACATTAATTACTCATTGAGGTCCTTGTTCTGACAAATTATATTTATTTTTGTATATATTATATATATAAGGGTACAGATGTGCTTCGCTGTTGAAGAGAGAGAAGTTTGAACATATAAAATAAAGGTTCCTTTTTATAACTATTTTTTTTTCTTTCTGAGATCGTTTCGGTAAGTCATAGTGAGAAAAATCAAGAACAAACAAATACGATTTTTAAATATTCTGCTTTTATCATTAAAATCCAGAGCTTGTATTAAATCGATTAAATTCCAGAGATTCTTCACGGACTTTTTCCGAGTTTGAGATAGGAGCACAAGCACCACAGGTTTCGACCAAGGCGCCCTACAAGTGATCTAATCTGTTTACGCTTAGTCACTTTACTATACTTTGACGTCCCTATTAGACAGCATCCGTTCGGAAGTTAAGATGTAGGACGACACAGGTTACTCTGTAAACATATGACATATTGTAGATGTTACTTTATTTCTTGAATTAAAGGTAGATATTTATGGATATTTTCATTAATATTTATTAAAGAATATTGTACCAAATTCGTTAATTGCAATTTATTGTACACCCCTATGAAGAAGAAACACACATTGTGGCGTGTCTTACGCGCAAAGTGCCATTTAAAAAGTGAGAAAATAGACAGGATCATTGCAGAGATCTAAATTTTTTTTATTTTTTCATAAATTAAATTCTTTTTGACATTAACTGTGTTCGAGAATTTAATTAGTAAATTATTTTTCACTACTCAAATGGAAAGTTTAAGTAGTTTTAATGAAAAATAACCGGCGTTGAGAATAGGTGATTTATATAAAAAAAAAGGAGACCAATTTAATTATCACACAAATATGCGTAGGAAATTGTATGTTTATCAGGATGGATAAGCTTGAGAAGAACAACTGTGCCACGTTTTCTACAAAAGAAGTTTATCGAATGTAAAATCCAACTAATAATATAACATTTCGAAATAAAGTGAAAGTCAATCAACTGTAACTGTGTCTGTTACGACATGTAACTGTAATTTAAATTTTTTTTAGTAATTTACTGATATGTTGTTTCTTTATACAGGTTACATGTCAATACAACCAATGAAAAAATTTAATTGCCTAGTCTCATCAAGAAAGTAAAATTGTACATATTTAGAAGAAATTCGCATTGACCTAATAATATTTAAAAAAAAAATGATACACTTAACGGATTTTCCTAAACTATTGACATATAATAAAGACAAATTTCTAGTTTAATACTTTTGAGTATCGAGATCCTAGGTGTAGGTCTATCCATATTAATTTGTAAAATTCATAAAACTACCTTTTCGCATTCAAATTTCATATTTTTTATTTTTATTTTTTAAAACTATGACTTAGAATAATATTAATTCACACAACCGCATTTTTAAAATCAAAATTTTTTTTTTATTTTATAATTTCCACATATGACAAATGTGTATCAGTATTTCCTTTTATCTACCATTGATATAATTAATACATGTAATAATTTATCTATAAATTGACATTAATTTCAAACTATAAAACCACTTACTTGTTTTTGCGCATTAATATAAGAAGTTGTATGTAATAGATGTTACGCTCTTTTTATCCAAACCATTGATAAGTTGTGAGTCAATTCCATCTTATGAGCGTCTTATTTACTTTATGGAATTACTGGAATAAGAACACATTTTACATTCTTATTAACGTTCTGAAATTTGAAATTGTAATTCTAGATTAGTTTCTGAAAGTTTAAATATATAACAATTATTAAACATGGATAAAGTTAAAATCCTGAGTAAAAAAGAATTTGTTATAACACACATGTCGGATTCGTAATCAAACGTCAGAAAAATTATTTCTATAGCAATTAAAATTCTGCACAATTGAAAAAAACAGTTCATAAAACGAAAATCTTTCTCACGTCAACTCTTTCCCTTTAAAAATTTCTGTTACGTTACGAGAAATTTTCTTATAAGGTTTCTCCAATAATTTTCATATTAAATAATTCAGTGGCTTTTCGTTTCTCTGAAATAAAAATATATTATCTTATATTTAATTAAGGGAAAAAGCGCTATTTAAATGAAAATTTTCAGTCAGATATAAATATTCATTCCAAATATTCTCAATTGATAATACAAAAATGTATGGTAATATAAATTTAAATCCAAACTATCTTTACAAATCTATATAACTGTAAATTATGGAATTTTTATCAATTTAAATAATCAACTTTGAAGAATAAATTTCACGTTATCAGACATTTACATAATCAGACATTTACATAACCAGATCACGTAATCAGACATTTACATAACCAGATCACGTAATCAGACATTTACATAACCAGATCACGTAATCAGACATTTACATAAACATATATATATTTATCCTCCTTTTTTGAGTGATTCCTAACTAATCGGTACTATTTTCTAGCCCTTTTCAGGGTCAGATTCCATTCTGATTGTTCGAAATCATTCGCTTATTTTTACATTTTTAAGATCATTTCGTAACTTGTTTATGACTGTAATTTGTTGCTTATTTCCACGTAAATATTAAACTTAAAATTATATGCAAAAACCTCAAGAAAATGTTACAGTTTTTCTTTTCAAATCAATGTCCATTATTATTAATATTCTACCACTTATTATTATTATTTCTAGTATACAAATATAAAATTTGTAATGAATAATTAGTGTATTGACACTTACAGTATGAAATATTGGTACATTGTAGATTTTTTTCGGGTTTTTTTGTTTTTTGTTTTTGCTTCTGTATTTAAAATTTCATTAATTTATTTTTAACAGTTCAATTCTAATCCCGTGTCTAACAATGGAATTCGAATCCCGTTCTAACAATGGAATCCCAAAACCGTTCTAACAATGGAATTTCAATCCCATGTTTGATAAATGTGTTCTTCTTTTATATTCTTGTTTTTGAAATTTGTGGAATTACTGAGAATTTTTTTCCCTGTGGATAATTTGTATTAGTTTTTTCAAAACAGTTGTTTTAATTCTTAAATTTTCATGCAAGTTTGACTCTAACAAATAAATTGTTTATAAAGATTTGAACTTCTTATTTCCCACTGGAATGTGTAATGTAAAGAATGAAAAAATACAAATGCTGTATTGGTATCTATATTTTTAAATGTTACACAAGCTCGCGTAAAATAAATAAATTTCTCCGGAAATTTGTGTTAAAACAAAAGCGGCTGATTTGTCTTGATCTCTTGATGGAGAAACATAAAGGTAAACGTTTCTCTCCGCCAACGATCATCTCATGCTGAAAACACCGTTTCTCTTCCGATCACCGAAGTTAAGCTTCATCGGGCGCGATCAATACTTGTGAGATTGACCATCTAGAAACACCGCGTGCCTTTTTATTTTTGTAAGAGTATAGGTTTATGGGGGGAAGGTATGCGGAGTTTTACACTACATTGAATCTCGTTCTACATTTAAAAGAGTAAAGATTAGAGAAAAAAATAACGGTTCAATTTGATTCGGAGTTGAAGAACAACTCCACTTGACGAGTAGAGCAGGAAGAACGCGAGGCCAGTTCGAAGAACAACTCAACTTGACGAGCAGAGCAGAGAGAACTGAACGCTAGACGAGTCGAGTGAGGGAGAAAGGAGGAACAGGAGAACAAGAGCAGAAAGAACTAACCATGTCTGACAGTTCTGTATATGTGTAGTATTATCTCAAATGTTGTGTTTCGTGCAGCATTAATGTTTAAATTAAAGTTTTGCAATTAAAAAAGAAAAAGGTCTGAACATACTAATTATTTTTATTTACAACCACTCTCAACGCCTTACAACCACTCAATCAAAATGGAAATCATTTTTACTAAAAGCATAATCAGATGTATGCTTATAGCCATTCTCTTTCGCAAAAATTCTTGAAAAATTATTTGAAATATTCTGCTACCTTATTGAACATTTCAATAAAAATTTCTCAATGAAAATTACATATTATTTAAAGACATAACTGTTAAGGGGACTCGATACCCCCAAAATGACCAAAAATCCATTCTTTTTTATTTTTATTTAGAAATATTCTCTGAATTATTATCTTTCGATTGATGCATTACTTTTGTATGCACGAGCACGAGAAGATTGAAAAAAAAATTAAATTTAAAAATATAAACAAAAAAATTGTGATTTGACCACGCCCCTTTCTTAAAGATGTCAGTAATTTTATGTTATTTTTTTATCAATACTTTTCTAAAATTAATTTTATTTCATTTTAATCATAACTGCAATATTTCAGCGTTCTTTTTTGGTGACTACAACTTTCATTACACGTGATTTGTTGTTGATATTTCGTGTTTTGATTGTAGTGTGGATATCGAGCTAATTATAAACACATTTTATATTGAGTTAAAAAGTTTTGACGTTTTACATTCAGAGAAAGAAAACAGTTTTTATCAAGACCTTCTTTTATTATTGTTGCTGTTGAAGTTTTTGCTGTTTATTTTTTTGAGAGCTGAAGTTAAAAAATACCTCGTGTAAAACGGCTTTATCATTGAAAGCAAATGAACAATAAACGTTGACGTAATGATGCTGATAATAAAGCTGATTCTACATAAGAAAAAATTGCTGTTCCTACTATCAGAATTGAACAGTTATTAAATGTTGAAAAGACTGATTGTTCCGATACTTTAAAACTTATGCGTATTCTTTCTACAATCCAGCTAACTGTTTGACAAACTGATGTGCCAGAATTTGACAAAAAAGTTCTTGTGCTTTTAAAGTTTGTGTTGTAGAAACAGAGAATGAAAGGCAAACAAATACAGTTCCTGATATTAATTTATGGATTACACAAGCATTCTGCAACATAGAGAAAGGTAATTCAGCCATCAAGAAATTTTGTATCTACATAAATATTTTGCCTTTTTCATCGAGGACATACAGCAAATGTACTAAACTTCTTCACAAAAGCCTATGGTATTGCTGCAAAGACTATGCTAAAAGACGTACGTACTGATGTACGGAATGCATATGAAGTACCTGCTGATGTCCCATTTGTCGACATAAGTGTTTCTTTCGATAGTATTTGGATGGCACGAGGCCATATATCTTTAATTGGCTTTGGTTGTGTCATCGATATACTTACTGGCTATATAATTGACTTTGAAGTTATGTGCAAAGTATGTCGACATTGTTCCATTACAAAATGAGAACTTCAAAAGTCAAGTGTAGAATATGATATGTGGTTTGAAAGACATAAAGATGAGTGTGATATCAGTTACACCGGTTCATCGGGTTCGATGAAAATGGAGGCAGCATTGATACTGAGGGAAATATCGCAATCATTGGAATTTCGATATTCTACATTATTGTCTGATGAAGATTGTAAATTTTTCAATTACTTAATTGAATGAAATATCTTTGGGAATAATGTCACCATAAAAAAGAGGAATGCATAAACCATATGATTAAAAGGTTAGGTACTGCTTTACAGAATGCTGTGAAGGAATCGAGAGCTAGAGGCATCTCATTGGGAGAGAAAGGTTATGCACCCTTGAAAGAACCTACCATAAAGAAATTAACTTTTTATTATCAGAAAGCCATATTAAAAACACGCAGTGTCAAGAAGACACAAAAAGTTATGTGCATACCTTTTGGAAAATGCACGCATGATCTTGGTGTACTACTGGAATTGCGAAAAAAATTGTTAAGAATGAAACAACACATATCAATGTGCATTTAAACTATTAAAGAAAGCAGTTTTAAACAGAGAAGCAATAATGATAAAAAAGGAAGGTGTTAGATATAGACCAGGATACTTTTGAGGTGCAAATAATAAATCTCTAATGTAATTTTTTTTCATTATAAAATGTGCATATATATTTAAATTAAAGCAATTAATATAATTTTTTTTCATAATTTGTGTTTTCATTCATTATATATTTTCATATAAATATAATATAGGTGATATATGAAGAAAAAATTTTAAAAATGGTTGTATTTATTATTGTTTTACATTTTCCTTTATTTTTCATGTTCGTTAATTGTAATTAATACCTTGAAAAATATTATCAATTATTAAAATTATCAAATAAAATTTTGTGAAAATGCTATTATTTCAGAGAAAAACATATAATTTATGATAGAAAAGGGAATTTTAAGTTAATTTAAGTATATAATATTTATTTTTTCACAGTTATAAACTTTAAAAATGTTTTCTCAGTTTGTGTTTTTTCGATACATCATTGTATTTAAAATGCTACTCCTCCCACAAATATTAATCACACACTTCTATTTTTTTCTGTGTGTTATATATAATACATGTAACAAAATTAGGGATCCATTTTGCAAAGAAATGTTTAATTTTTTTAAAAAAATAATGTAAGAGGTATATGTGTTTTTGCTGAATTTTAGCATGCCGACCAACACTTTACTTTTTATCTCCAAAACTTAATAAGATGTTACAAAATCGATCCCTAAATTTGTTTAAAATATTCTCGAAAATTATACAAAAAATTTTCAAGGTAAAAAATTAATAAAGAAAGAAGGAGTAGGGTTTTGAAATGTTTCAAATGTTTTAAAAAAAATTTAAAATTTTTAAAATTGTGTTAACAATGTAATCAAATTTTCACATAAAATCATTATCTTGAATAGAAACACTTCCAAGCTTGCTAAAACTAAATTTTTAAATGCATTATTAAAAAAAAATGGTTCAAGTGTACCGAGTCCCCTTAATTTTTTAAGAATCGTCACTTCGAGTTAGGTTGACAGCTATGAGTTAATATTCAAATAGTTATAATTTCGCTTCTACTTATCCTAGACTAAAAACAAAAGAAGATTTATAAAGCTAATGAGTTGGGGTTAAAAATGGTAAACAAAAAGTTACATTTGTCCGAAAATTCTGCTTTAAACGTAGTCGATCATTTTAAATTTTATATATCTTATAGAATTACAGCACACGACTCAGATATTAGCGGAATTGTTCTACAAATTTTGCATTTTTTTCTTTTAAAGATGTTTGTATTTTAAATCATTCTTTTATTGACATCTTCTTTTCACTTACAGTGACAATTCAATGTCAAAAAACATTATGAAAGTAAAATCCTTGACTGAGACCTTTAGAGATGATAAATTCACTTGCAACTTTTATGTAATGGAGCAACACAAATATAACTTTTACATAAACACTGATACACTTACACTTATTCTTATTATGTTTGCTTACATTTCTTGTAGTTCTGCACATTGATTTATTTTTTTTCGGTATGATGATCACATGATGTGACATTTATATATATATATGTGTGTGTGTGTGTGTGTGTGTGTGTGTGTGTGTGTGTGTATACAAATGTATACACCTAAATTTGTCATGGATATTTCTGTGCAAACATTTTATAAGAAGTATTTTAAGGTTAAATGAGAAAAAATAATTTACTCCGATGGATGCATGGTCTGATAAGTCAATGAAACCGAAAACATTTGTAATTGGAAGCAAACTATATTAAAAGTTTTCATTGAAAAACCATACTTCTTTTAAAGGTTCTAAATAATGCTATACCTATGGTGACTATTATAAAATAAAAGAATTGTGCATATTGTGGATGCACCTTTCAACGAGATGAACTCTTCAGAGAAATGAACAATAAAGACTGAGTATATTCGAATGGGAAGTTTAGAAATGACTCCTTTCAATAAAAGTACACTAAGTAGAATCTTAATTCATCTGATTGCATTCCGAAATAAACTGTTTTATATCCATATATTTTTATTAAATTATAGCATGTTTCTCTTAATACCTTGAAACAAAAATAACACGTGTGCTTTTAGAATTGTCATTCATTTTTAATAAAATGTAAATAATTTGAGGTGTATGCGCTATTTGTTCTTTCTTAATAAATGGATAATAATTTATTTACGGAATTACTTTTGATTTATATTGGGATAAATATTCAAGATACATTTCACGTTGTCCATTTTTAGCTTTTTAGTTGCGATTTTTCTTTTTGTAAATTTCAAATCCATACTTATATCTTAAATTTAAAGTAAAAACTTGGAATTTAAATGGTTGATTAAAAGAGAATTTAAAACAAAATCATTTTAATATGAAAGTTTTCTTTTATTGAGATTTTTCAAAAAGAAATTTTCATTATTTTCATATAAATTTATTCACGACCTTTGATTTCTTAATTACTGATGGTATTACTTTTATATTAGAAAATAATTTTAGTTAAAATAAAATGTACTAATACTACATTTATTAGATCAAAAATATTTATGAAATGTTATAAAAGGTATTGTAAAACAACTGTTCCACATTAAACTGGACTGAGAATATCTTTTGTTTATATATATTAGTCAATTTTGTTCTACCGTAGTGTCTTTTTAATTATCAAAGGAATAATTAGTCTAT